GATTGATAACGGGAAGGAATCAAGAATAAACTCTCCTCCTCTTTTACTCACAGAAGCAGAAACGATGAGGCTCTCAACGTGGCGGTTGAAAGAAAACTGAAAGGGCAGAGCCTTGGCGCCAAGGTACTTATACGAGGGGGGAGGGGGCCTTATTCTAAGGTGTTTTTTGCTACTGCGGAAGCTCTAGAACTTTCTGAGGAGGCTCCGCGCAGGTGCGGATCACCCAGGGTGGGATTCACAGAGGCCACAAAGAAGAAGAATCACCACAGTATTCAGAGAGTTGGCCAATGGAGAGAATTAGCCTTGGGACCCCCGGGCTGCCCCCCCCCCCAAAATCATATTCCCATAAACATGAACATGATGTCCAGTCACCCTGAGCAACGCCGAAGGACAGTGGCCCTCTCTGTGCTTGTGGCTGAAAAGGCAGACGGGGCCGCCTGCGCTCCCTTGGCCGGGCTGGGCCCCCCCAGAGGCCTTCCAGCCCGCAGCCCCCGCCATGAAGGGGAGATGAGCCTCCCCCCAGAGGGAGGGCCAGCGCCCTGGGCCACGTCCCGGCCCCCGCCGTCTCTCAAGCCCTGGAGGTGCGCTGGGGGTCTCTCGCCACGTCCCGACGGGGCACGCAGGCCTGCCTGGGCAAGGGGGCCCCTACACCTGCGGGGCAGGTACCTTGATGGTCTTGACGAGGTTGGCGGTGTTGTTGGCCACCTCCTTGGCCGACTGGACAAACTGGCGCTTGGCGACGGGGTTGGCGGTGCGGGAGGAGGCCAGGCGGCAGGTGTTGCAGAGGGCGGAGGTGTGCTTGGCCACAATGGTGGCGGCCGAGAGGACCTGCGGCAGGCAGAGGCCAGAGATGCTTCCTCTAGACGCCTGCTCCTCCCCAGCCCCAGGACAGGCGCCGCCGAACTGCCTCCTGTCTCTCTCGGCCATGGCCATTTCACTCTCACCACAGTTCTGACAGACTCATAATTTTCCAAGGCCCTGTGGTGAGCTTTACAGCTGACCAGGTTTTTGAACCAAGGTCACTTCAGTTCATGAGATCAGTACTGGCTAGTACAAAACACTGACTAAATGTCTCCTGGGTAAGGGTAACTAAAACTACAGCTGCCAGATTGAGATGACAAAAGAATCGTCTGTTACATTCTGGAAGAAATGCTGGTATCTTTAAATAGGTAGTATCTCATTTATGAAGCACATCTGAAACTTAAGTTGTATTGTTTGTAAATTAACAAAGCATTGCAAAGGAATTAAGCAAAGAATTAAACCAGAAAGCAAGCTCCTAGTTGTTATGGTTTCAGCAGAGTAAAACTTCAGCCCCCACACGAGACACCCCGAGACACCCCCCGCCCCCCCTCTCCTCACCTGGGCCTGGGTGCAGGCTGGGTCGATCAGGTTCTGGCAGGCCATCTGGATGGCTTGGTTGGCCCTGGCAAACTGGGTGGGGTCCACCAGGCCGTGCTGCCCCGCTTGGCTGTTTGGGTCAGAGACCCCGACCAAGTAGGCTGCCTGGAGGGGGGGGCAAGGGGAGAACCGTGAGCAGGGCAGGGCAGAAGCTGCCCCCCCTTTCCAGTGTGTGTCGGAAGGAGGGGGCTGGGCCCCTCCTGCCTCCCCCGAAGATGGCTCGAACCGGGCTGCAGGCTCTCCTCCCTACCTGGGCGGCAGCTTCTGTGAAGCCGCAGAGGGCTTTGGAGGCAGTGCCGATGGACTCGCCAAACTCAGGCAGCCGGCTGTTCTTGGCGTTCTGCGAAATGCCACACCTTGGAGTTCTCCATGACGCTGTCCAGGCAGCTGAAGTAGGACATGTCGTTCACGGCCTGGGTGGGATTCTCCAGCAGCTCTCGCACCGTCTGTGGCGGGGGTGGGGGTGGGGGTGGAGAAAGTCCTGTGAGACCCTTCTGCTGCCGCTCTCCGGCCCCTACTTCCAGGTTCCCCCCCCCCGGGTCCCCCGAGCCTTGCCAGGCCACTCACCTCCAGCTCTCGCAAGGCGTTGTCGCACTCCTTCTGCCCGGGGGCCTGCTGGGTGCACGTGGTGATCAGCTGGTTGATGCTGTCGGTCACGGCTCTGCAGAGACCCAGCGCGGGGCGGGGGGCAAGGCGGCGGAGTTAGACAGTCCGTCAGCCCCTCTTGGTGGCCCTTAGGGCTCCTGCGGGCCTTGGCCAGGCCCAGGGGGGCGGCTGGGCTCCCAGAAGCCCCCCCCATGCCCCTTCCTCCACCCCATGCCCTGCGGGCCTACCGGGCGGCGGCCGCCAGCTGGTTCTTGAGGTTGGGAGCCGCGGAGTCGGCCGAGAGGGCCTTGGCCGCCAGGAGCAGCTTGCTGGACGACATGGAGATGCTCTTCAGGTTCGACACTACCTGGGCCTGGGCCTCCTTGGACTGGGTGGGGGAGGAAAAGGGCGGGGGTTCACACAGCCCTTGGCCACCCTGGAA